GTACTATAGTCTTAATCAGAACAATAATTTTGGAAGGTTGGAGAGATTGCTGTTTCAAAAACAATATACTGTACTCCCAGCTCCATATGAACGGTGTTAGAGATTTAATCAAATGCATAATGAAAATGGATACATTATTTCTAAATTATTACCATTAAATCCCTACTTGACCTTGATGAAATTTGAAGAACAAAAGCCAGTTGTAAAAAAGAGTTTACCTGTAATCGTAGTATTTAGTAGCCTTAAAACCTGCAGAACAATCTTTGCAACATCCTAGATATATGTTGAGAATGTAAGAGCAAGTGCTGAAAATTGTGTCAAGTTTGGAGTTGCCCATTCATCATTTCTATAATACTTGTATTCTTTGAGTTTATCTTTAGAAAGGAGATTGCCTGTGTAGTAGAATGTGGGAATGTGACCTTGCGGAAAGAGGGGAAGTGATGCTGCTAAGGAAATAATCAGATAAGAAAAGCAGGAGCCCCCAGTGACTTAATGGTCAAAGAAAGAAATTTGGAAAGGATTCACCCGAAAGGATCAAGCAAAGTGGTGGGAATTTTTGTAGTTTCAGACTTGACAGATTCTGATAATGTAGCCTTACAATACAGTACATTTAACTCATCAACTTGTGTTTCCTGTCTGGCATCTATTTATTGAAGCACTTGCCTTCTGAAACTGACACTGAATGTTTTAATGTTTTCTATAAACGTTAGCTTAATTTGCATTTCAGAAATATATCTTACTTGATTTCAAAATGAATAGAACATATTTATATTTGAAATATTTTTTTTAAAAAAAAATTCTCCTCTATATGGAAAAAATACTTCTCCTCTACATGGAACCACAGGGGAGATGAATATTTGCCTGTACTTGATCGACTTACTTTGATTTTTATGAAACATGGAAGTAAGTTTGTTTTCAGTACTCTTGGCTTACAGGTAGTCCTCACTTAATAACCCTAACTGAGATCAGCAACTCCATCACTAAGCACAGCAATCAGTAACTAAAACATCACATGAGTGCCTTGCTTAGCAGTTCTCTGTTGCCGTTGTTAAATGAATTCAGCAGTCATTAGGCGAGGACCCATCCCAGTACAAACTATTGCCAGCTTTATCCCAGCCTGGAGTCTTGGTTTTTACAAGGCAAAGAACTTCATCCTCTTCCAATTCCTCCCCTCTCATATTCCTTTCCTAAGGCACAGCAAGAAACCCCAGAGCTGCGGGCACAACTCCAGAGCTGTGGCAGTAGCCAGCGTGGTTTGTTTGTTTGTTTTCTTTCATTTGAAGTTTTTTCTAGTTTTTTTGTGGTGCAGAAATTAAAAGGGTTTGATATTCTTTCCAAGCTGAAATAATTTCTTGGGATAGAATACACAAAATGCCTGTTATTTTAATATCCTATATACTTTCCCTAGGCATTGTATATACTATCTAAGTATTATGCAGAATAAGAAGAACTATTTAGGCAAAGTATGAAAAGAGAGTCGTGGAAAAGGTTAAGGTTATAGTTAATACCATTTATTGAAAAGACATGCATGAAAATGAAAGAAGAAATGCAATATAAAGTACAGGACTTTCTTGCAGAAGAAAACAAGAGAAAAAGACCGGCATTGATCTACTTGTTCCAACAAGAAAGAATAGAATGGCATTTTAGTGGGAATATTTTATATAAGGCCGGTTTGCGTTTGCCATTTCAGAGAATGCCTTGGAAATGTGTGAAATATAAAGCACTTTATGCTTTGATGTCCCATTCTGTAGATTTCCTAGGCATTCTATAAAATGCCCAATTTCACACATTGACAGTAACAATGTATATCAGTCTCATAGTGTTTAGGCATAATTGATTCTTCTCCACATTTTGTTTTTGCTACAGACATCAACAGAGTCTAACATAACTGTTAATAAAGCAGCTCTCAAAGAACTGGTTTTAATCACTGCCAGACTTTTGCCTTTACAAGCTATTAAAAAGACATCATTCATAACATAATTAAACATAGAAATAGTATTAAAACTTTTTTACTGTATGACTTGGCCAATCATATTAAGGACATGAGACAGCATTTATTCTGTCAAAGCTGATTACATGCTTCATGTTATTGTGCAATATATATATATATATATATATATATATATATACAGAAGACAGCAAGCACAATTACTATTTCATATGAATATCCACCATAGTCAAGGTATTTTCCATGAAAATTCATTGAATTAGTGATAATATGTAAGCCATCAGAGTTGCCTAATTTCATAATGGGAGCATTCACAGTTAAGAATAGGAAAGATGATGTAAGAAATTTTAGTCTCTAACCAAACCCCCCCCCCCCCAAAAAGAAATCTTTCAGATATATCATGCAGGTCAGCTTTGACAGGTTATAGAAAGCAAAGGAGTAACTTAATTTGACATATTCTGGGATAATCAAATGAGCCATTAGTTCCAAATGTGCCATTCATTCTCTTTTCATAAAGGATTGAGCTCTGTTTGATATACAGCTTGGCTATACCTTCTACCTAGGTTCTGTGGGGGAAAAAATGTATGCTTTCAAATTGTCTTTGCAACTGAAGGTTATCAGAGCTTCATGTGAGTCATCATGATATATTAAGAGCATTTGAGGGAACAAGTAAAACTAAAGTTTGATGCTCATTTCATTTATTTATAAACAAAGTCATCCAATGTGCAATGTGTTAGTATGACAAAGTAATCCATGCACCCCTCCCTAGTTGTGTGAATATTTCATTTAAAAATGAAGGTTGATTCAGACACTCTTGCCCTGTGTGCAGAACTCTGTCCTCATCACAGTAAAGTTCTCACCCTAAAGATTGTAGAGGCACTTATCTAATTCTTTAAAAATAAAGATTACAAAATCATTTCTGAGGTTTTATCAGTATGTAGTCAGAGAAAGTAGTGAACCTTCTCATGATCGTCTCTACCATTCAAAATCGCTCAAAGATCATAACATAAAATAACATGTCCTATTTGGCCAAAGTCAGCTTTAAAGATTCAATTACCAAAAAGGCATCAAGTAATGATATTCATGGGAGGCTAACAAGTATGCCAGAAAATGAACCTTCTACTGAAGTATGCCAGAAAGCAACCCTTCCAATCAATAGAGGAACTATTGAGCTACATAAATATAATTATGTCTGATGGGAACACAAACATTGCATTCCACTATAACAACCTCATCCCAGCTGTTAAGCATGAAGTGATAGTATCATAACTTGGAGGTGTTTTGCTCCTCAAGGCCTTTAGCATTTGCCTTTATTGAAGAAAGCATAAAACTCCACTTTGGGTCAGAAAACTCCTCTGGAGAATATGCAAACAAGTCTGCAAGGGAACAGTTAATGCATTGTTTTAGAATGGTTAAATGAAAGTCCAGACATAAATCTCATAAAAAATATTTTGGCAGAACCCGAACAAGCATTTTATGTTTGAAACCTCTCTTGTGTTAATTAAGTTGAAGCAGTTTGCCCTGAAGGAGTGGGCCAGAATTGCTTCACAGTATTGTAATGTGAGAGACTGATTACAAATTACAGGAAGCATTTGTTTGCAATTGTGGCAGCTGAAGAAGGTACAACCAGTTATTGAATGTAAAAGGAACATTTTCACACTGGTAATTGCAGGTTAGATATTTTTTGTTTATGAAATAAATGAAGCGAACACCACATTTCAAGAGGATCCATATGAAGATCTGATAAATTTTAGTAGCTGATATATACAATTGTTAAGTGGACAGAGTCCTGGGTAAGGAATGCAATGTGCTTTGGGGGTTGGGGGAGACCCTGAGAGGCCCACGCAAACAAGTGGGTCACACACAAAGAAGTAGAGGGTGTGCTGTGGACAAGTCTCTCCACTCTTGACTCTGAAAATCCTCCCTGGTGAACTCCCCTGGGGCAATCTCTGCTCCTTAGTTTAAGTGCAATGCTCTGTGGTAAGAAAAATCCTCCCTGGCAAAATCAGGGCAAAATCATATTTTCGGCACCTCAGGGGAATGGGGAGGCCCAGCTCAGGCCATACACAAATGTCTCTCTGGTCAGCAGACTGAAAATTCTTCCTGCCAAAATCAATGCGGAAAGCATTGATTTTCCAAGGAAGTCAGCAAGGAAGATTACAAATAGTGATCACATATTGAGGGATGCTTGACAACTAGTTGTAAGTGCGAACGGGTTGCCAAATGCCCAGGTTACAACCATGGCATCCCAAGGGGATAGTGTGATGTTTTGCAATGGGTCAGAAGCGCGTTATAGGCCATAAAACATCCTTTCCAAGGGTATTGTTAATTCAAACCGTGAATGACTATTTAAGCAAGTAGTCATAACTTGAGGACTGTACAGAAATTCAAAGAATCTGAAAGTGAGTGAATATTTTTTCATAGAACTGTTGTATTCTCTCAGGTGGAGAGGGATCTGAAGAATATGTTTCTGATTTTTTTAAAGAAGAGAACAATGTTTCTGTGGATTAATATATTGAAAGTGCTTTATATTAAGAGATACTTATTAGCGTTTAATAAACAGCAGCTTCCGATTTGGTGGCACATAATCTACAGAGGTTTATTTCAGTTCAAAACAAATTGGCCTCTGTAAGGCAAGATAAGAAATGACAAACTGGAAGTGAGAGATTGCATTAACAAAAATATGTGGCTTTTCCATGATATTCAAGATATAGCAAGAGTTTTACTGAAAAGCAATTTTTAAAAAATTCTTCCAGAATCATTTACAAACATTATTTTTGGAATATGATTTGGGAAGTAATAAGTATATAAGATGTAAGATAAGTTATGCCTTTTTGTTCTATTTATTTTATTAATCAAATTAGGTAATAACTTTATAGGCAAATGCAGAAACCTTCCAGCACAATACTAGATAAATAGTTGAACTGAATAATAATATGTGCAATAGCTGTTTTAAGTGATGGCCAAGAACTGTCAAAAGCTGTTGTTTGAACGTGAATATTCTGCCCACGAGAAGACAGGCAGGTTTACTTCCTTCTTTCTTTTCCTACAGTTGCCCTTGGCCGTAATCAGCCCCTGAAAAAGGAGAAACCAAAATGGAAAAGCGATTACCCCATGACAGATGGACAGCTACGTAGCAAGAGAGATGAATTTTGGGACACAGCACCTGCTTTTGAAGGCCGCAAGGAAATCTGGGATGCCTTGAAGGCTGCATCACATGCGTTTGAGAACAATGATCATGAACTGGCACAAGCAATCATTGATGGTGCAAATATAACTTTACCACATGGTAAGTATATTCCTAATGGATTTACTGTAGCACTTGTGAACAGAAAAGCACTGTCTTAGTGTAGCCCATACTTCCTTTTTGGGCCTCCTAGACCACACTGACTTAACTGCAACAAATAACCCTGAAAAATGTTATTTGACTTTAGCTTCTTTTCAGTGCATATTATTAAAATTTACCATAAGTGTTTTTTTCTAGCTTTGAAGAATTATTGGGTTACTTTTAATATACAGTTGAATGGATATAGTTCTAAACTTCTCCGTTTTGCTTTGTTAGGGAGGAGGGAATGAGGGAGTTTGCAGTGTGCTATGACATGTTTTCATATTTAGCCATCTGCCTGTCAACTGAAAGTCACCTAAGTAATGAAGAAACTCTGACTAAGGTAAAGGTGATTGAAAGTTGGTCAGAGTAAAGAAATCTGAATCTGGGATGGATGGATGGATGGATGGATGATTGACTGATTGTTGAGGCTGGATTTTGGAGGTAAGCAAAGGAGTAAGGATTTTTGAAACGTTACAAGACCATTAATGTAACTCCAGTTGGGTATAAATGCCTCTTTATAATTTACATATGTTTATTAGATCATAAGAAAAGGCTCCTATCCTCCTGTTCCAAACAATGGCAAGGATTAACTATGAGTCTTGGTCATAGGATGGAGTGTAATTTGCAGTATTATCTTCCATGAAATTTGTCTAATCAAACTGTTTCAGTTTTGTTAAACTTTTTCATCCCCTCTCCCTGGGAAAAAGATCTTTATATGAGCAAATATTTAACAAGCTGAAATGCAGGGTGAAGTTTAAAGATGCTAATAAAGTATAAATATTTTATAAGATTCTTCAGTCCATATTCTGCAAAACATACTAGGGAGGATTTGTTTACATTGTTCTTCCCTTCCTCCCTCTTACCTTTTTAATGAGCATGTTTTGTACTGTTTTTATTTATTAACAATTCTGAATAAGAACACCAAACACTTGCAAGATTGTATAATGTCATAAAATATTTTGGGTTGTTTTTTTTTATATATTATTATTTGCACCTGCAGTTCCTTTGCAAACCAGGAGTGGTCACCCTCTGATTTAACTACATACTGCTTTTCACACAAAAATTCCAAAACAGTTTACTCAAGGACAATCTGTATCATAAAGATGTTTACAGTCTGTAGTGGGAGCAGATTTTCTTATGTAGACCTTCCGTTCTCAAAGGAGTTATTTTCCCTTACCTTCCACCTGATTTATTATTAGATTCTGTCTTGTGGAATCCTTGGTGCTGTCTGCACTTGTCTGTTTGCTTGCAGATGTTTCATTACCCAACTGGGTAACATCATCAGTGACAGAACATCACAGCAAGATTTTTTTTCTTGCTTGGAAAACAATGCTCCTGATAAGTTCCAAAGAGTATCTCCTTTTTAAAATACATTTGGGGTGTGATTTAGCGAGAAGTAAAGGCTGGTTGTGTTGCCAATTCTTCTCCAGTCCTACATATGAGATGCTTTACTTCTTCAGACATTGTAGAAATTGTTTCTGTTTCTTGTTACTTAACCTTCTCTGTAATATAAAACATTTAATTTTTTTTCTGAAATTGGAAAGCTGATCATGCCCTGCATTTCATGTAAAAATGCCTCATTTTTACAGATTTTAATAATGTGGTATTAAGCTACAGAGGTACCATAGTACAATTTATCAGAATTACCTGGCAATCAACCAGTTGTCAGTAAAATTCAAAATACTTTGTACATAAATAAATACAGTATATATGTTTGCAAGAATATTGGCAGGTAGCGTATGCAGAATAAGGCAGTGTATTTCGGTGGTGTCAGGTAATGAGAAATATGGCAGGAGACAAAGGGCAGGTCACCTTGGAGGGAATGTGCCCTTGGAATATGGTATTGATCTTGTGTTTCAGCCCCTTAAATTAAATATTTTTACCTGGTCAGTAAATTTGTGGAGGCCCCGGTTTTAGACTACTGGTTTTAAATGCCAGATCAGCTTGTAATAAGGCTTGCCTTATTGATGATTTGAGAAGGCTGATTTCACTTGCATCACCAAGATGTCACTGAGAGCAGAGGTGGGGTTCCTCTCTCCGAAATGTGCTTAGCTGGTTATCGAGCGTTGCACCAGCCTAGACTAGAGGGTAGGGAGGCAGTGGGGCTGTTTTCATCGGAGAATCTCTGATAGCTTCCAGGGGCATTGCTCCAAGAGGGCCCTTTTTCTTAGGTTGGACTTGAGGAACCAAATGGGATTGCTACTGTACCAGCCTCCCTGCTCTGTAGCAGCTTCCCTGCCTGATCTCTTGGACTTCACAGCAGGGCTGGAGATGGAGTTTCCCAGATTCATAGTTTTGGAGGACTTTGTTCTATGTTCTCTTGGGCATGGGTAGGAGTTCATGGAATTGAGGACCATCATGGGCCTGACCCAGATCATCCAGGGTCAAACAACCAATTTTGTGTTCTTGTCGGAGCGGTGCCTTTGTGATCTGGAATTGGTGGACTTATCCTACATCCCCTTGTCATGGTCACATCTGACCTTGGTGGCTTGGTGAGCTTCCTTAAAGCCTTACCTTCTCCACGGAGTGGCAGGACCTACTAGATCAATCCCCCCCCCCCCCCCCCACAACAACCGATGGATTCAGATGGGTTTTAAAAAGAGCTGGGCATTATAAGTGAAGATCTGCTGTGTAGTCCTGCCAAATCCTTAGTTATAGAGAGGTGACTGGGGCTTTGAACAGGATTGCACCCATACCCATGGCAATTGAGAGAGATGACATGGACGTAGAGACATCTAGAGCACCACTAGCAGAAGTTGAAAAACATGCTTGCCCAAATACAGGTAAGAGCTGTTATCAAAACCTACTTCCTGGCAATTCAGAGGGTGAAACATGAACACTTCTCCACACTAATTGTATCTGCAGATAATAATCACTTTCTTTAAGGTGACCTGTTTCCTTCCAGGGAAGGATGATATCTGGTGAATTAAGCAGTGTCATGACCTCCCTCTCACAATGCCTCGAGTCTGTTAAGAGCTGGATGGGAACAACAGGCTGAAACTGAGCCCTGGTAAGATAGAATGGCTCTGAGTCTGGGGTTCTTTGGTTCATGGAGAATCACTATCTTTGGTTTTGAATGAGGTTGCCGTGCCCAGATGAACTAGTGCACAATCTGTGGGTTCCCATGGACTCAAGAATCCTGCTCAAGGAGCAAGTGACAATCATGGCCAGGAGGGTTTTTTTTCAAGTGTAGGCTGTGCACCAATTACGTCCTTCCCTGGACCAACAGATCATTGCATGACCATACCTTAGTGTCTTGACTACTGTAACGCGCTCTATATGGGATTGCACTTGAAAAGTACTCAGAAACTTCAGTTGGTTCAAAATACAGGGCCTGCATGGTTTTGTGCAAGTCTACATTTGCACATGTGGCACCGCTCTAATGGGAGCTGTATTAAATGCTGATTTGCTTCCATGTCCAATTCAAGCTGCTGATCATTAACTTTAAAGCCCTAGACGGCTTGGGGCCAGGTTATTTGAAGGACCATCTATTCCCATTTATATCTCTCCAACCCAACAGATCAGAGAGGCGGGTTATGTTATGTGCCTTCCCCATCCCCCATTAAAGAGGTCTATTTAGTGCGGCCAAAAAGAAGGTCTTTTCCATGGTGGCTCCCTTCCCTGTGGAAATAAGGTTAGCCCCCACATATTCCAAACTCCATGAAGGCATGGTTTTGCCAGCAGGCCTGCTAATCTTGTTTGAAGGTAGGGAGGGGAGGGGTATATTGGGTATATGCATACATATGTGTGTGTGTGTGTGTGTGTGTGTGTGTGTGTGTGTGTGTGTGTGTGTGTGTGTGTG